TGAAACATGTATAGATCAACACAAATTTTTGTTTCTAAACAAATTATATACTTCTTTCATCTATCATACTTTTTTTTCAATCGAGCAATTTCCTCTTATACAGGGGGCGTCCAAAACTTGGAACATACGTATAAAAAGTAGAACTTTTTCAACTTAACTATTGAAAATGTTCCGGAAATACTGCGTTCTTTAAACATGTGTTAAATTAAAGCTTACATTATGTACTATAAGTTAAAAAAATGTTTCCCGACAACTTATCTTTTATGTGCAAATGACCGTCAAAATATGATAAAAAATGTAATTTTCGTGTAAAAAATCACTGTTATTTTGGTACTTAAAACTGCCACAACTTTTTAAAAAATGAACGAACCAAAATAATTTTTATATATAAACACCTAACGTATTATCTTATAATTTGATATAAATTGTATGATAATCTGACCCTTTATCTGCCCACCTGGAGGGATTCAAAATAGAAACTTTTTTATAATACTCATCTTTTTTAACTTAAGTTTTGTAAATGTTTCTGAAATACTGCATTTTTTTTTTGTTGATAAATTCATACTTACAATTTTGATACACGTTTACCATAGATTTAACAAAATATACAAATACATTATAATTTTTTATATTGTCTTCGTAAAAATTACAATACTAAATTATTGATTATTAATTTCATACTAAATATAATGACTATAATTAGTACTTATTCATATATTATACTTATAAATCAAAGAACTACTAATCAGGCTGTAATTAAGAAAATAGATAATTTTTTTATGTTTTTGGAATAATTCAACAATTTGTTCTAAAAATTAAACACTATTTACAGATTTTTCATTTCTATAATAAATATTTATTCATATATTATACTTCTAAATAAAAAAACTACTTATCAGGAATAATAAAGGAAATAGGAATTCATTTAGCTTTTGGTAAAATCCAACAATTTTTTAAAATAAAACACTATCTACAGATTTGCATCGAAGCGTTTTTTATTCTTACATAAATTATTACATGTCGATAATACTTTTAAAATAAATACTTATTGAATTATGTCCTCTGCATCTAGAGGTTAAAGCCACATCACTAAGATTCCACAACTTAGGTACTTGGACTGTGGAGAGTGACACAGCAGAACATAGTAAAATAATAAAAGAGATAGACCAAGGCTTTTTGGAATACCTCTTGGACTATATCAAACCGGTACTTAAGAATAACATTCCCTACAAAGTGGAAATCAATACACGTAGAGAATGGAATATTAACCACCTGACTGAGAAAGGAGGATTTGTAATATATACAGATGGATCCTAAAAATTAGGAAAGATAAGTCATGGCATTTGGGGTCTAAAGCTTCGAAAAATGTCAGCATGTCAATGGGCACAAAACCCTCTGTTTTCCAAGCAGAGTTGATGGCGATATCGGTAGGGGCTCAGACCTGCTGGTATTCAAAAAAAGAAAGATAATTATGTTTAGTGATTGTCAAGCAGCTCTAAAAGCACTCTGTAACGATCAGGTTAATTCAAAAATGGTCCAAAGAATGCAGGGAAACTTTAGAATCACTATTGAGGTTCAATAAAGTTACACTAGCGTGGATACCAGGACACAACGGCATCACTGGAAATGAAAATGCTGACTTTTTACCCAAGAAAGTAGCAGAGAACACCTATGATGGACCAGAACCAGTGGTAAGAATCACTGAGCAATTGCTCAAAGCACTACACAAGAATTGGTGCAGACAACAACACAGGAAAATCTGGAAGTACTGGGTAGTACCTAAACAATCTAAAATGTATATTAAGACCCCTGGTCTACTGCTGGATGATCTTAATAGGATGACTAGACATAAAATAAGAACTTTGACTGGTCTACTGACAAGACATGGTCACTTGCTTAAACATCTTTAATGGAGTATTAGAATCATCATTTTGCAAAAAGTGTGGAGTAAAAGAGGAAGACTCATTTCACATTATGTGCGAATGTGAAGCCTTGTTCACACGAAGATCAAACTACTTGAGTAAACCTTTTTCAGAAAAAAGAAGATATCAAAATCCTATGATCCAGAGAAATACTTAATTTCGTCAGAAAGACAGGACTTTTTGGTCATCGATAGGGGATGATTTGATAGTCCACTCTTATACAATGATAGGTATAATGTGATAACACTTAGGTGTGTAAACCTAAGTATAAGGTATAAGGTGTTCACAATGGACCAACAGGTCTAAGTGTAAAGGCATTATGTTCACCTTACGTATAACTTATAACTAAAAAAAAAACTTTTGAATTACATTCATTTTAATACATAGAATACGTATGTAACGCAGGATCCGTATCTATTATAAATATACATCAGTACGAGCTGTACCAACTTGCTCTATATGTATGTATTAAAATGTGTGCAAATCAAAAATTAGTCGTTGTTAAATTATTTTTTTTTTTATGACTAAATTTTGAAAAAATAAAATTAATAACTTTTTATTTATATTATTATTAAAAATAAATAATGAAAAAAATACTTTTAACATATTGTTACAATAATAGTTTACAATTGTTAAAAGTAACTAGTAGCGAAATGATTATTTGGAACAAGATTTAGGTCCTCTATAATTTATTGATTTATTTTGAAAGTTAACCAGAAGGTTAACTAAAGGCTTGAGATTTGGAGATAAGTTTTTAAAGTAAAGAGATTAAGGATTAGTAGAAGCAAGACGGAGTATATAGAGTAACTACATTATTTTAACTTACTATTTATATGCGCTCTTTTAAGTGCGGGTCCTTGGCAACTGTATTAACTGCATAGTATAATGGAACAACCAAAGGGAGATCTCCGGATCGGCTCCCCTTATAAACATAAAATCATAGTAAGGGGGTTAGTAGTGGTAATTTTTTTTTTATTCTACATTTTAAAAGCTTTTTGTACCCCCTTTAAAATTTATAATTACGCTATTGCCATAGACTCCTTGTAGGCCTTAAGTATAATAAACAAGAAAACACAACCTCATTGAATTCCATATTAATGTTCAGAGATTTGACACATTCATAATTTAGCTACTTAATAGTTTTCAAATATAAAATAAACTCAATCAAATAAGAAAATAATAAGTAATTTAAATGTTATTTGTTTCAACTAATACAAAATTATTAATCACTTACCATAAATACATGACAACTTGAGATAATAAAATACTTTTTCTGAAATTTCGGGCACTATTGCTTATCTTGAGTATTTAAATTAAAATTAAAATACTTAATTGGAATCAATCTCTAATGTTTATATTATATATTAGTGCACGCAAAAGAATATTTATTAATTCATATTTTCCTTTTTAACCCTTTTCTTTTATTAAAACTTTAAAAACGCTTGGTTTTGATACTAGTGGAGAGAACATTTTTTTCTTATATAAACCCATAAGGATAAAATTATTGAAGTAATGTAGAGTTTATAATATTTTTTAAAATCATTTAGATCATATTCAAATAGTCCGAACGTGTTGCCAAATTTTAAACATATTTTGAATACTAAATTATGGAAGTATTTAGTAAAAAACTTAATACTATAAATGTATTTTTTTAGATTGTGAAAAAAATAATTATTAATTAAAATAATTATACTCTTGTTTATTTTTATACATAAAATGTTTAAACTATATTACAAAGGAAATCAGAATCAACAGCATTTTTTTTTTTGTTCAAGTTCACTAAAAACACTTACAGTAAAAAAGACGATAGAATAACAAAAAAAAAAAAAAAATGTGTACAAAATTATTAAAGTGAACATCATTTTGGAGGGATAAATCTCAAGACATGAAAACAAATAAAATTATATAAAACAAATTGCACATTTTTCTTTAAATAAAATTAAGTATAAAAACAATTTTATAGACATCAATCTTATTAATATGCATAATAATATATTACATATACATATATATTACGTACCTAGATAGTTTTAAATTATTACAAAATAATTTTGCAACAGTAACAGTACCAAATTTCTTTTTAATTCATTGAAATTAAATTAGAAAAAAACTTAACGATAATAATTAAATCTGGTAGACATTTTTGGAATGTGCTTTTTAATTTTGTTTATTCAATAATTTACAATAATGAATAATGTGTTACTTATGGCAATACAAACACAAAAGTCATGCTAATTTGGCACATAAATAAAATTATATATATATATAAAAAAAATATATATAAAACATACAAATATCAATTGTTAACTGAAATAAAATAATATTAACTGATTTTCAGTCTCTTTTCAAATTTTAAACAATAAAGTTTATCTGGGTTTCGTACGTTAATAATAATTCTGGCAAAAATGACTAGCGTTATGCCAAAAAAAAAAAAAATTATAATATATAAATTTATATATATTGATTATTATACATGAATTTTTATTTAAATAAATAACCTTTAACATTTTTTAAAGTAAAAAAAAAAAAAAATGTAATAATTTAAAATAAATTTTGAATAATTATAATACTTACTAAAGTATTTGAGTATTGTTATGATCACTATTATTATTATGTAGAAGAGATACTACTATTCACGGATAACATTTTTACAAGTCAGTTTTATTGGATTTAATAGAGGTAGAAAAATATTAAGGCTGTGCATAAAATATATTTGTTTGTCCTTTAAGTTATTATTGATAAGACATTAATAATACAATAGAAATTTTAGGAACACATATAAAATTATAACATTTTATTTTATTATTTACTTATTATATACAACCAATTTTTTTTTTATTAAAAAATGAATATACAACACTACACAGCCTTAAAAATTATTATCTGAGTTAACTAGAATCTGACATAATAATGTAAAAATTAACCAGAATGGTTACTTTTAAATAATTCAATGACATTATGCTTTTTCCTAAGTTTCATAAGTATAAAAAAAGAAAGAAAAATAATAATAACGAAGCAATAGTTCTCTATTAGTGACAAATAAACAACATAATTCTTTTTTTTTTAGAATTTCACACACAAAAAAAAAAAAAAAAATTAGAACTTATAGAAAAAAGTAGTCTTTAAGATATATTTAGTCTCTTAAAGATCAAGTAATGGCAATCATATGAATAATATTTCATGGTTAGAGAAGTAAAATAGAGTATTAGTTCTATTTAAATACCCAATATACTATATACTGGTTTCTAATGTTGATTTGTCTATAACATAATAATAAATTTATCATAATTGAGCGGGTCAAACTATTGCTTCGCGTTATATACGCTACGTTACACTAATAGCAGGCAATGCCCTGCTAGAGTGCTCAGACTGTTGTTGTTGTTGGGTGACTCCATTTTTCAGATCATTTTGTTCCTTAGGATGGCACTTATTATTTACCCCACCAGTCAATTGGTTAACACTTAATGGATTGTTTATGTCGTGAGGGTTAGTGCCGACTGGCTGATGATGTCTTGTAGGTATTACTACAGCTAATGGCATACGAACGGCCATTGGACAATCGTATTCAGAAACATGAGGAGTAAGAGGTGTAGCTGGAGACAGACTAGCCTGAGTTAACATGCCAGGGCTAGTGAGACTGGACAAGGCACTTAATCCTCCAGGGCTAGATACAGAGTCAGCTTCTTCGTTATCTGAGTGGCCAAGACTTCCATTGGATTGGTTATCATCTGACTGATTGCCAGAGTCACCACCACTCTCTATGTATCGTATGCAACGTTTTTTACGCCTATAATAAGAGTTAAATAATTAACCAAAGTTTTATATTAATTTAATTTAAAGTTAATTTTCCAACAAAATAATTCATTTTAAAACAATAACAAATGCACGCAACCCTCAGAAAATGTGGGTTTTTAAAATTAATAAATTAACAATAGTTATAATAATGTAATTTCAAATTCCACTTTTTTCGTGATTTAATAGAAAATATATTTTCAGCTTTACATTAAAACTAAATAAACAAGAAAAAGAAATTTATATATTATCGACTGCGAAAATTTTAACATAAATAAGAACCCGTATTATCATATTTCAGAGGAATTTGAAAATATTTTTAATCAAAAACACTAAATAGCTACAAAACACACACAAAAACTTAAAAATATATATAAGTAGTCAAATCTAAGTATAATTTATTGTACTTATTCAACGAATAAAAATAAAGCTAACTAATAATTAGAATAAAACCGCTATTAATGTGATAAAAAAAGATGAGAAAAGAAATTGAAATAAATTTCTAAAGTAATAAAAATGAAAAAACTAACAAATGAAAATCCACACAACAAAATACGAGCAAACATTAATTTAGGGAAATTGAACTCACAAGACTGAAGATTATTTGGGTTGTTATTATTGACAAAATTTTATACAGTGATTTTTTTTTAAAGATTTACATATGTAGGTCCCTGTGGGGAAGCGGCGTTAGAAGAGCCGTGAACGTGTTGCGATAAGATGCTTCCTCCGCCTGTTCCGTCAGGGCTATAAACCATATCAGTCGTCATATACACAATATACATAACAAATAATTTCAAATATAATATTCTTAACATATTAAAACAGTATAAAGATAATTCAAAATTATCCAAAAAGAAAAATTGTTCACATATGTTTATTATGAAAGTTTCCAATGGTAATACAATAAATAACATAACTAAATTTATACACTTGTAAATTTAAATGATAAAAAAGTTCAGAAAATGTGTCGAAATCCTTTAAATTTATTTTAGGAGATTTACTGCATTTTTCTCATCCCATAACTTAGTATAATATGCTTCATAGACTGATATGGTTAACAGAAAAAAGCGGTGTTTTTAATGATTAATTAACAAAGTCTAAAGCTTCATACAGTTTAAAAAGGTTATCGTTAAATATTAAATATTTCTGGCACGACACATTTTCTGAATAGGTTTGCGGTGGCTACCAAGATATACAGCACACATTTTTTTATACAAATTATTATCATTAAGTGTATTATCATAATATGAGTACAATGATAATTAAGTCAACTGGTCGATTATTATTTTATTAAACAAAAATTTGCATAAATTAATAACTTGTTAAAGAGGCTTGACAATAAAACTTAATAAATAGTAAGGTGAAACTGTACTGTGTGGATTGTAGAAATAACTATTGTAAAAATTAAGGAACAAAAATAAAAAAAATTGTATCAATTGTGCTTTAGCATTTAAAAAGAGATTAAGATAAAAAACAACTTTTATTAGCCAAATTAATTATACCAATATCGTATGGTAAAATTTTTTCTTAATTACCTGCAAGGTTTACACCACTGGCTTTGCTGATCGAGTCCGTACCTCGCTCGACACTTCTTCATGCTATTGTTACCTAAAATATCAGTTTGTATGTAATTAGAACAAGATAAAAATTATACGAAAAGGTAATTTACGAGATTAATTTTACAAGCGTAAAAGCGTAAGATGGCATTTAAAAGCAAAATAAAAAAGAAGTGCTAGTTCATTAGCCACCACATTTATAACAACATAATAGTATAGCATGCATATAGTTCATAGGATTTTAACAATTATTGTGCCAGACAAACACCCCGTTAAACTCCAAAAATTTAATTTAATTTATAAAATAAAAATAATTAAGAAATAAATAAGTAATTCCCTCCACTTTCTTTATCAAATGTTCTTAACATTTATTTCCACATTTTTCCATGTAATTAAAATTAATTTGGGGCAGTACTTAAATAGGGAACGTGCATTTATCATGAAAAATTCATATCAAAAAAAGCGTCTAGTGTTCAGGAAACGAACGCGTTAGCGTAAAAAAAAGTAAAATTAATAATAATTATAGTTATTTATAAAAATTACGAAGACAGAAAATTAACAAACGGATAAAAATCATATTTTATTCGTCTGTTGCATTTATTTTTTTATTTGGTTGGTTTAATTTTTTTGATTTTATTATTGGGTTCTACCTCCGTCATGGGTCTCTTGTTTGCGTTTCCTCTTCTTGGCCCGTGTCGCATTAGTGCGAGATGACCAGTCCGGATAGAGCTGCATGTGTATCTGTCTCTCGCGACGCGCCAACTCATAGTACTTGGCCTGTTCTTCGCGACCTAACGCGTGCCACTATATTGCCACACACACACACACATACAGATACACAAATGATTTTTTAATGTGATAAAATTGATTTGTATTTTGTTTTTTTTTTTTTTGCAATTGAATAATAGAAAAAAATTATAATAATAACTAACACTAGGTACATTTTTCAACTGAAAACACCAAGATCAACGGAAGAAAGAGTATAGTGATGATGTTCTAGTTGTATAAGAGAAAAAAAACGACCCCCTTAACTTCACAATAAACTTGATAAATTATTGAATTATATATATATATTTTATGTGTTGTTATTTGGAGCTAAACGTGTGTTTGTACGGCTAAATTTGTTGTTGAAAATAATAACTCAAATTTGACAATTATTAAATTAAATAAGACAAACGTTAAAAGCAAGCTACCAAAAATTGTTTTTTTTTCATATATAAAAAAAAACATCCCAAACTATTTTTTTTTTTGGTACACGACCACCGCAAGCGTTTCTTTCGTATGAACCATTTATTGTATACACATATACTAATATATGTATAAACATATTTGAGCTACGACCAGGCTATAAGATTGTTAATACAGTGAATAAGTTAGTAACGATTTAACATACATAATTATAAAAAAATATATGTGAATAATAAAACACATGGTAATATTTTAAATATATACCATGTCGCCGAGGGTTAAAGAGGCACACGTACTGACACAAATAATTCATTCTGGCCACATATTATTAGCATTAAACAGCATACAACTGAACAATGCGTTTGGGAAATATATATATAGTCAGTCGATTGATCGTGACGTTTGCAAATAACAATGAATACTAATGAATAAAATATAAAAAATAAATAAATTAACAATTATCATTCAGAACATCATGTTAAGTTTGGAAGAGTGTGTACGCTCATATTAAATGTAAGGATTCTGTACATACGAATTGTTTGCAATAGGTAAAGCTAAAAAACAACACTGTTCGATCGTCGAAAAGAGAGAGAGAGAGAGAACGAAAGGACGAAAAGTCATACTGTTAGTGAATGTAAAAACAGTTTAAGGTGACAAATAATAATGTTATGAGACAATTTGTTGTAAGTAAAAATCTTTAGCCTGGGCGGTACTGCATGCTGCTATTTATGTTTGCACGTGGACACGAAAAACAAAAAAAGTATATATATATATATATATAAAAAAAAAAAAGTAAAATAATATAAACTAATGCCGATTAATATGATCGAGGGACTACCTCCTGAGCCAGCATCTATGACCGGTACGCGCTCTTTCTTCCGTTTCTTCTTCTTGGCGCCGTATCCATAGTTATCCCGAGCGCTCCAACCAGGATACAGTTCCATATGGAGTTGTCGTTCCTGGCGCGCTTTCTCGTAGTACTTGGCCTGCTCGTCTCGCGACAGAGAGTGCCACTATATTATACACAAAACCACTTTTTCAGTTTATTCAATTAAAAATGATCCCCAATGTTTAATTACTATTGTAAAAAATGTTTAAATATATTTTTCCTCAATCCCATTTGTACACAGATAATTAATAATTTTGAATACTTAAGGGTTAATAAAAAAAAAAAAAAAACAAAATACTGCTTGCTAAAAACTTACCCGTCGTCCTAAAATTTGGTTGATCGCCGCACTCTCTTTCAGTGTACATTCAGCCACCACTTTAGCCCTCATTTCCTTCATGTATAACATGAAAGCGTTCAAAGGCTTTTTAATATGAGGTTTCTTTTTATCTGTACCGAAAAACAGTATGTTTAAGTTGATTATTCTACATACTTATCACAAGTTAATGATTATAATAAGATCAAAAACATACCTTGGTTATTACTATTTTGTACGGATTCTTGGTGTTTAGGACCGTCTGCACACGTAGAATTTTTATTGTGGTCATTCTGAGGCCTGTAATTAATTTAAATAGATGTTTTATAGAAAGTTGTTTACTTGAGTTAAATTTATTAATTGAATATATAAAGTATCATTCACATAGATGTATGGTTTATAAAATAATGTGTTATAAATTATAATGATAAAGTTTGATATAAAAAATCTCAAACATTTTTTTAAAAATTTCCTATGAAAACCGACCGAAGGGAACAGTTGATGCTCGATATGGTAGAAGCTGGGGCGGCCGCTGGCGAAAGTGATCTCTTATCACCATCTTGGTCGGGTGATGTAGAGGTGGCGGTGGCGGCGGCTACGGCAGCGGATGCAGCCACTGCGTATTGCTGAGCCGCTGTGTTGTGCTGTTGCATCACTTGCCAAAACCTGTTGGCGGGTGTCCAGAAGGACGACGAAGCACTGTACTGAGCGGCTACTGCAGCCCTTTGGAATAGCTGGTCGTTAAGCATGCTATTCACGTACAAACTGGACAATAAGGTGGACGGAAACACTGGAGCCGTAGCTGCCGTCGTCACAGGCGGCGACACCACGGAGGACGGGGCAACCACAGCCACCGGACGATTTTTTCGTTTCACTAAGTTTAGCGGTTCCATGGCACTTGATAAATAAAAATTATAATGATAACATACGATTTTATGGGTTAGCCCCTAGCCAACGATAACAACAGCGTCCGCAGCCAACATCACGGACGGCACTCGATTTATGTAATGTACTACTGTGATATACGGTGTACCGCATTGATGAGAGTTTTTATAAATGAATCCACAAAAATCCATTTCAGGTATTTAACTAATTAAAAACTAAAGCGTAAGCACTAAACAAAAACTTGCGTTACAAACATGCGTAACGACGACAAACGACGAGCATTCCCGGGACGTGATACAAACGAAAGATATTATTTTTGCGTAGTCTCGCCGCTACCACTTTCTTTCCCTACACTCGTCGCGACATTCATCTCCTCCACGCCGTCCCTCGTCTACACTAGACTACTTCATCCCTTGCATGGGGTCACTGAGCTCCTCCATAAACGTCAATAATGATAGAATGCCGCCGACGGCATTACGTCATTCATACCACCCCATCACATTTAAAAAACATCCTTCTACTACCACCCCACTATCTAGAGTACCATTTGTTCACCTATTGTGCAAACGCAGCGTACCAATTTAACAGAAAATTATATCCCAAATTAAAAATTTTAATTAAAATTTGTTTTAAATGCGTTTTGTAATTATTTTAATTTTCATTTATTAAATTTTTTTTTTTAATCCTATGTAAACAAACATGATTGTATATATGGCAAACATGGGCTGCATGCGAGTAAAGAATTATACAGCAAGATTGCAGCTCGTACACATTTTAATGTAATTATCAGCATGTCCAATAGATGGCATACTAGTATGTAGTCGTAATTTAAAACGTAAGTATTTAACTTTAACACATATGCACGCGACGGTAATATTTAGAAGTCTAGTTTATACAAAGAACAGAAAAATTTAAATATTGATTATAGAACATCAATGTACGATTTTTATTCGTTTTATGATAATTATTAACATTTATTGGCATAGATTAAGCAAAATGTGTAAAAAAATTTGTTGCTTTTATTGAATTTGAAAAAATTATAATTTTAACAAAGAAAAAAAGTTCCTTGAAGAAAATATAACAATCTCAAATTAGAAGAATTAAAAAAAATAATCCAAACAAAATGGAAAACCAGATAATTTTAATCAAAAACACGTCATTAAATACTGTGTACGTTCTCAACAATTATAGACTTCAGGGTTTCTTGTAAAACTAGTGAATATTATACATTGACAACAATAAAAAAAAAAAAAAAAAAAAAAAAAAAAAAAAAAAAAAAAAAAAAAAAAAAAAAAAAA